CCAAGGTGACTACTTGGAAAGTAATACTTATTTAAATTATCAAGTTAAGGAGAAACAAAAAATCTCATTACTTCGTCTTATCTCTCATTTCTTCCATCAAAAAATGTGAATATTGCTGCATTTGTGAATATTCTAAAGTACACATAAATAATACTGGAAGTTACCTTTTCTCCCTATTACCATGTTATGGGTTTGAAAACCCCAGATTTGCTTGAGGGATAACTTAACTGAGAATCTAATGCAATTAAATATGGATTTGATGTATTTCAACGGACTATGAGGAGGGAATATATTTAATCCTGAGGTGGGTCGAAGGCAACAGTAAGAAAATCCAGAATGATAGGATCAAATCCTAATGAGCTGGCTGTATTTTAGGAGAAAGCACAGAACATGGAATTAAACGACCTGGATTTGAGCCTAAGCTACCTTATTTCGAGGCAAATCATAGAACCTTATAGATCCTTTCAAACTTTCAGATTTCCAATATTAAATAATATCCTCATCTTAACTGTTGCACAGGATTGTTGGGAGGACAAATGAAAAACATGCCTAGCTGCTTTTGTAAGCTGTGAGACTGTATGGAATTTGAGGCATCATTACAGTAATTACCTAAGTCATCATCATATAAGTAGAGGGATGCAGGAGAGAGTGCTAAAGGAAGTAATGTTAAAGGTAATAAAAAATAAAGTTGTCAGAAGTAGATTCCCTACTACATAGAAAGGTGAATAAAATAATTTTGCAAATAAAAACTTTTGTTTTTCACTTAAAACAACCCTATAAGGTGAGTATTATTTTCATCTTAAAAATGAAGAAATTGAAGCTAAGTGAGGTTAAGAGACGTGCTGAAGGCCACACAGGGATAATGTAGTAAAAACCAGGTTTCAATCCCTGTATGGGCCAGCAAAAAACAAAAACAAACAAACCCAAAACATGTTACACACCAGTTATTTTAATTCCAAATCCACTGTACTTTTTTTTTTTGTCACATTAACATTATACTTCCCATTCACAACATAAATTTAAACCTTAGAGGATATCCATACATTATACTGAATTATAATAAATTAACTACTTGAAATGTATATCACAGATATTTCTGAAAGGCCTAACATGCAGGCAGTATTGAGTACCAGAGACAGAGGAAATCCTACCAAGAGGTTAAAACGATAGGAAAACCAAGAGAAAGGGTGACTGGAAGCTGAGAGAGAAGAATGCTGTGAAAATGGTTAACACCATTGAATACTGCAGAGGAAATAGAAAACGGCTGAAGAGTATGTGATAGATTTGCCAACTAGGTCAGAGGTGGCTCTGGCAAAAAATATTTTAATATAGCAAGGACAAATGTCAGATTACCCTTGATTAAGGGATGAATGGGAGATGAAGAGACTGGTTGGTTATGAATGGATGATTAAAAAAAAAAAATGGCCTGGGAAGAGAAGAAAGAAGTTAGGACAAAAGAAGGAAACCAATGGTCAGGGTTTTCTTTTTTTTTTTTTCTTTTTGTCTTTTTTTACTGACCGGTAACGGGATCGCAACCCTCAGTGTCGCGCCTGTACCAGGGACCGGCAACGGGATCGCAACCCTCAGTGTTGCGCCCGCACCGCGCTCAGCCAGTGAGCGAGAACCGGTCTCCACATGGGATCCGAACCCTCGGCGGGAGCGCTGCCGCACTCCCAAGCAGTGCACTCTCCAGTGCGCCACCGGGCCGGCCCAAGGGTTTTCTTTTCTTAAAAATATTGATCAATTCCATTGTATTAAAATTGACCATGTTGAATTTTTTTTGTTTTTGTTTTTTGGTGGCTGGCTGGTAAGAGGCTCTGAACCTGTGACTGTGGTGTTATAAAGCTGCACTCTAACCAACTGAGCTAACCAGCCAGCCTGGTTCTCTTTTTAAAATGAAATTTTATTTATATAAGTAAAGCAGGCATACATTCTTCTTGTAAAATCTGAAACATTACAGATAAAGCTAAAAATCCCCTTCAATCACTACTTTCAGTCCCCATCCTGTTAGTAATTTAATGTTTTTCCTTCCAGTCCTTCTGTATGCATTTATATATATCCTTGTAGGAAATATATTTTAATTATCTTTTTTATATAAAAGGTTCCGTATTCTACATATTTATCTACATCTTGCATTTTTCATTCAACAATAGATACTAGAGAATGATCATACATATACTCACAGATGAACCTCTCTATGAACATTTAGGTATTTCCAATTTTACTATTATCCACAATGCCTCAAATGAACATTGTTATGCATGCTCTTTAAGCACAAAAGCGTTTTTCCAAGATTGATACCAAAAGTGGCAGTGCTGTGTCACAGGGTATGGATATTTAAAAATTTTATATATATTGCCAAATTGCCCTCCAAGTAGCTATATCAGTTAATTCTCCCACTGACAGTGTTTCAGTTTCCGGAATTTCGTTTTAAATAACATTTTTTGGTTTTGATTACAAAAGGTTCACAGTAAAAGGGAATGGATACCTTAAGCATTATTTAAATGTGAGACTTTACATATTTATATACTTAGAGGAGAGTCAGAAGACAGAAGATATTAAATAGAGATTAACTAGATTCTTAAGGAAATGTTAGGGGATGAAGTTCAGAGAATAAGTGAAAGGATTAGTCCTAGATGTTTTCTTTTTATGGATGTGTAAAGTAGAAGGCAAGATGGAAGGGTTGGGTTGGAGGGACTGAAGAATGTGAACAAATTTTAAGATAGGTTATATAGGGAAGAGAAAGTGGGACAGTGTTTCTGCAAGCATGTTCTAGGAACACTAACTCTACAAAATGACTAGGGGAAAAAGTGTTCTGTGGTCAAAAAATTTGGTAAATGCTGCATATTATATCCTGCTTTTAGAGTTACATGTCAACATATTAAAGGCTCTGAAAAAGACTTGCAGTAAATAAAGCAGTTTAACTCTGTTTCTCAAACTTTTCCAATAATAGAGCCCTCTTTTTCTATGAGTATAATACCAATTAGTACACACTGAACCAGTCTTCTATGAATTATACTTTGGAAAGCAATGGGCTGAAGAAAATTTGAAGAAACACCCAACAATGACTGTCCAGCTTATCTTTACAAAATTAACTTATTTGAAAACAAAACAAAAAATAAAGAGAACAATTTAATGAATAACATGTAACCGCTCCTCAGAATTAAAAGGTTAGGATTAAATTACGATAAATTTTAATGCTTATTTTTCTATTATAGAAGTATACGTTCATGAAACAAATTTGGCAAATAGAAGAAAAAAAGGAAAAATCTACTGTCATCTTATCACCTTACTAAAATTATTGTTAATGTTTTGGGGCATTTCCTTTAATGTCTATATCTATTAGTTTTTTTTTACATCATTAAAATAGCACACACAATCTTTTATGTTACATACTTACGATTTTTATCATAAACATTTGTTGTAAGTTTTTTTGGCTATCATTTTTAACAGCTGTATAATATTCCAAGTGGATAGTCTACTATTTCACCATTCTCCTAGCTTTTAGAATTTAGGTTATTCAAAATTTTTTCTTTTTTGTCTCTTATAAGTAATATTGCAATGAGTACAGTGGAGTATAAAATTCATTATAGTTATTTATTTTATTTTTATTTTTTGTCCTTTTTTGTGAAGGACCGCACCATGCTCAGCCAGTGAGTGCACTGGGGCCATCCCTATATAGGATCCGAACCTGCGGCTGCTGCGCTCCCAGCGCCACACTCTCCCGAGCGCTCCACAGGGTCGGCCCTATAGTTATTTTCTTAGTAGTTATTTGCCACATACAATAGTAATAGTTCAAAGGCAATGCACATTTTTAAAGGCTTTTGAAAAAACAATGCCAACTTTCTTTTGGGGGAGGGGGAGACTATACCATCAGCGGATGTATCAAAGTGCCTATTTGCCCCTTTCCCCCAGTTTAATTCAGATTCAAAAACTTAACATTTATGGGCCGGCCCGGTGGCGCACTGCTATAGTGCGCCGCTTGGGAAGTGCGGCGGCGCTCCCGCCGAGGGTTCGGATCC